ATAAAAACCTTTTACATGTCGGCTGTTTTAGAGAGAATTTAGATAACATTTTACAGAGACATTGTGGAATGATGGAAATTTAGGTCCTGTTTAGGAGGGTTGTTTTTTTATTTGGTAGGTCGCGCTTGACAGAAATCCTCTAAGCCACAATTGTACCAAATTAGGAAGTTGTGATTTTGTGTCCACGTTTTCGGGCAGAATAGACGTCAGCACACTGTGATTTGATTAATAAACGATTAGTCAAAACTTCTAGTGTGTCATGTGTAGAGCAGATTTTACAATTTAAAGTTTGTCAGCCAGATATTATCGTTTTAATGAGCCAAATCTGTCATCCCTGAAATTAACGCCTTATACCTTTTTTATAACAACGCTCTTTTGGAATTCGGCTTTATACATGATACACTACAGTCTACTAAGTTTGCCCCACCGCAGTGCCGGCTCATGAAGTTTTGATTCTGCGCTGAATTCTTGGCGGACACAAAATTGTCGGTAAAGTCAAATTTTGATACTCCCGAAGGTGTCCCGAGCTTCACGGCACGAGTTTCAAGCAAGATACACCTAATTGCAAAAACGTTGTCATAGAATAATGATAAAAGGAAAAAGCCAAATAGGAAATTAATGGGCTAATAAGCCTAATTTAATTCGTTTTCAGCATCCGTACATGGACCTCGTATTTGCCTGTTGGAATTTACTATTATTTTAAAGATGAAAACAGTAATAAGCGGGAAAATACAACGGGAAAAATCCAGCGGGAAAATGCAACGGCTGCAAATAAATCCACGCTGAGAATGTGGCTTTATTAGCCTTGGGTATACACATAAGTTACTCCGCTAATGGGATCAGACGCACGTTGTTGTGGTGGTGGACTATCTGGTATTTGTCTACTAATATCATAGGTGACCAATTACTCCTTAATTTTGGCGCGAAATTTCAGCGATAATTTGTAATTTCACGTGTAAAATTACAAAATTGCCATGGCAACCTTTCGTACGTCCCAGTGTCAAGATGGCGACGAAGTTTTAAAATGTCATGAATAAAGAAGAAAACCTGAACACATGAAAGAGCACGTCAAGAAGTATACTAACAGGTATTTTGTCGAAAAATTGTGAACTTAAGCCAAATTTAAGCTCTAAACGCTAGAGAGAGTAGAGTTCTCGATCGATACGATCCAGGATAAACATGTCAAAAATCCAAGATTGCTAACGTAATTCGTCACCCATGATATTAATAGGAAATCAAATGGTATAATCGTCAAATTAGGGAACTTGCATTTTGTCCAAATCCTAATAATTTCCCTCGCCTAAAGGCTCGGGAGATTATAGGGATTTTGAAAAAACGCGCGTGAAATTATTCCCTATTTCACTCGTCATCATTTGACTACACATACTAATTATTCACTTCATAATTTTAATTTAACAACCCCCAAGTCCAATGTTTTTCAATTTCTCCAAATTTTTTAATACTCCCCCATAATTTTTCTACGTTAAACACATTCGAAAAATCATCCAAGAATTCTCCAAAAATTATTGAACCAAGGACTCCAAACCAATTGAGTCATTTTTCGATTGAATATTGAAATAAACGAAAAACATTGCTTTTAACTAGACTCCCCCCTTAGATAAACATTTTGTTCGCATTTGAGGAGAGCGCCTTAAAAATGAGGGCGATTTATACTATTACTTATTTCGGATTCCAGAGTTTAGACAAACCCTTTCACAGAGAATGAACATGTTGGCCTTTGCGCCAAGTGGAAGTTGTATTGCTTGGAAACCTTAATGCAACTCGACGCCATAATCGATGACGTCACTACGACTACCAACCAAATATACACATATAAAGCCAGTTCGTGTTTCCGCCTCGCTGTGCGGTCCAGGCACGTTCCACGGGCGATTATTTAAAAAAAAAAGTGCCCTAAAATGTGTCTAAAAGTAAACTGGTCCGTAAAAACGCCGTGACATAGGCCAAGTATGGGAACAGCTCCCTCCGGGTTACGGGCTCCTGGTTGTTTTCGTTTCTCAAACAGCAGTTTCTGCAGAGGGAAAACGTTTCGCATTATCCAAAGCTAAAACGGACTATCGGGCTATATAGCGCACATGCTTTTGGTTTTTCTGGTTTCTGCGCTTCTGTCGCCTTACTGGCGGCCTATTCATAGTTGTAGCGCGCATGGGGTATTCTTCTCTCGAAGGTCCAGGCGTTGAGGAAGAACTCGGCTGAGATGGTTGAGTGGTGTTGCCATTATCATCATCATCATTCGGACGTTCCTCGTTTGGCATAAGAGGATCTCCTTCGTCCATCTTTTAAATTATATATAAAGAAAAAGGTTAGATACAAACGACTCTTCTACCAACGCGCAGCGAAAAACCCTCGGTGCAATGAAGGCCGAGTGCACGGTAGAACACATCACTTTCACCCCCAGTGGGGCAAAACCGGGCAAGACGCTTTACGAACACGTGCCCAAGCTAAACCAAAACGAAGACATCGTCATCTCTGACACTGCGTTTCAACATTTCAGACAAAATTCTCGTCCAGAACTTTTCGAGGGCGCTGGTGGACACGTTTTCGCTCAAGTATATTCTTCTGCTCTTTATCGAACCCTACATCGCCGGCGCCCGTGATTCGGAAAAATACATTAACCTTCGCATCATCAAAGTGAGCGTCACGGTGAACGGCTCACCCCACAAAAAAATACATCAACGGCATCGAGGTGCAGCATATGTGGCAGGAGATCACCCGGTACTTTCAGCCCAAAGATGTCGCAAGCAAAATGTACCTCACAAAGTTCTACCCAAACAAGTTTGGGTTGTTCATCGACATTCGGTCCATGTTAGACATCACAGTGCACGGAAACGACGTCCGTCTTGTGAACACCAAAGACGGTGTGTTCCTTGAGATTTACAGAAAGAAATCTGGCTCGAGAAATGTGAATTGCTACGCTTTCACAGTCAGCGATGCTCAGATGAACATCATGGACAAACAGCTCTAGTCTTTGCAACGTTGCACCCAAAAAACATTCCGTTTAAAACACTGATCGTGGGCCCGACATCCTCCGGCAAAACCCAATACCTCGTTAACCAGCTGGGAGGCCCTTTTCGAGGCAAGCTCGACCGCATGGTGTTGATACGCCCAACCTTTGTGTACAACAGAACCTACGACGGGTTTAAGGACAGCGATTCGCGCATGTTTGCCATTGACTACCCGAAGGAGGAGGTCGAAGAGTACAAGGAACTGATGGCAAAGACCTGCGCCATCCATTTGGAATCAAACTTTTTAATTAATATAAGCAGAATGTCTGAACAGGAGGCGCTCAACGAAGTGATGCAAATGCTGGAGGCCACTCCAGACAGTTCGAAACCCTCCGATTTTCCAGTTTTGCTCCCTGCCAACAACATTCCAGAACAACGCGAAAAGCTGGCTGTGCATGTTTCTACAGGCAACTCCAAGGAGGCGCTTCGCGCCCAACTTTCTCATGAACAGCTGAAACGCCTCTCGGACAAAGAGGTGGAGAAAATTTACAAATGATATAAAGCCTAAGTGGGCAGCAACACCACCGAAACGCTGACACAGAGCTTTTTTATGCTTGCCAGCAAGGTGATAGGTATGATCGTCAAAGTGGATGACGTGGAAGTTTTGCAAAAAGGACCTGCAAGAAGATTTCGTTATTAACTCGACGTTGTCGTCTGTGGATGGAGAAATTACACTGCGCTGCGGCCGCCTGCCTACGGTTGCCAACGTCACTCTTATCACAGCCAAGCACATCGATTTTGAGAAAGAACTTTAAAGGAACCTGCAATGGAATCACTTCATTTCTTCGCAACGTTCTTTGGTACACATCCTCCCTGGTCACGTTTTTTCCTTTCTCCTGGTGCAATACTTACTCTCTATCTGGATAGCATGTTGGACAGCCTTGAAAATGACACTATGGAACTGAAAGACTGTTCGACTTTTCGTGGTGATACCCATCCACCGGGTGTCCGGCAATAAGCCTCTTACCTCCGTGTCCACACAGTTGATAATGGATATGGATTCCTGAACGCTTGGACTCGGCCTCAAACAAATAGCAGGCTGCTCTTCCATACTTGACCCTAGGGTGGAAGGCTCTTTCGTAGAAGTACTTGGGCGCCCAGACCTTGTTCCAGGGGCAAATTATTTTCGCCGGTCCATCTGTACACCTTTCAGCTTGACGGGAAAGATCGCATGATTTGGTGAATCACATTCAAACAGTTTGGTAACCTTTTCGAGATCTTTTATCAAAAAGGCATGTCCGCGGTAAACTCCAGTCATCATTGGTTCGGGTTTCTGCTCCTCTTTCGCAAATTCTGGGCGGAAATGTCCCCACAAAGTAAACACACACTCGTCCGACACCAGGCACTCGGGTTCGGGGGCTATGTGCTATGGGCGGGGGTAATCCTTCTGGAATTCCAACGTCGAACATTTGATCTTATTCTGGTGGGAACGATTGAGTTGCCATCGCTGTAAATATATATATTTGTTAAGTGTTAGTATCTAACAGGGCGGAGAGCGAATGGGTTGCCATCGCCGTATGAAGATTCTGTGCGAATCTCTAACAGGGCGTTTCCTCTCCCTGTTGGCAATGAATCGGGCAAGAAAGGGTTACCGGGCGTTGCCGTTATGGGCAGCGCAATTTCTGCCAGGGCTGCAATTCTCTTGCGGTGGGGCCCCCTCACGGGCTTTTAACGACTGGTGGCCGCTCTGCGACGCTCCCTGGTAACCCAGAAGTAGTAGAACCGGCGTCAGTTTCGACACCACTTTCTCTGATGGCTACTAAACCCACCTGAATCTTGTAAGGGTGGGCTTAGTAGCCATCAGAATAAAGTGGTTCGAAACTGACGCCGGTACTACTACTACTGCTGCCTTAAAAGCTGTTTATCTTTTCGAATATCTTAGAAAAACTTTGGTCGCCGCGAAAGCTTGAGTTGGCTTTTCGTTTTATCCGAGATTGTTAGTTACCCTAACTAGTTCCAGTACATGGAATAGCCGAACTTTGTAAATAAGATTCTGGGTGTATTTTTGACTTAAAAGCGGACTTTTTTCCTGAGACTCTTTTTGCAATAATAACAATATCTTGGTAATAAAGTATTGAAAATACAAAAATTAAAAATTGTAACTAAATTAGTAGTAAATCTTCTAAATATGTGAGGAATGAAACAATTACCCAATTGCGCGAGTTTGATGTACCTCACCTTGAAACGTTTACATGGCAAAATTTGACCCCGGCTGAAATGGTAACCCGGTCTGGCAGACCGGGCGGGCGCCTTGGCGGGTCACCCCACCTATCATGCAAACGTGATGAAATTTAAAAAAAAAAAGATTATATGGACGGGCGCGTTACCCCACCTAAGCGGGTTACCTCACCTACCTGGGGTCCCTCACCTCCATGTAAGCAGGCTCTAAGAGACACAAACTCGTGCTTTGTCGCTCAAAAAAGAATTTCCCTGTTGACACCTTTTTGTACGAATTAGAATGTTTCCCTTTGCAGTACAATGGACATATATTGCGACCCCAATGATGCATTAGGTCATTGGTATTCTTTATTAAGGGGCGTTCTGGATTCGCGGCTTGTCAACCTTGGTCAATATTGAAATTCAAGCAGCGATTGCCGCGCGAAACAATTTTCATAAAAAAGCGATTTTAGAAAACAGTCCTTTAAATTGGAAGGACTGTCGTTGTGCGCGTAATAGAGTGGTCCATCCTATTCGTAATGCAAAACCTTCTTTTTACCCAACTCAGTTAAAAACAGTCTTGAAAATCCTGAAAATCGCTGGTTCCGTATCCGTAGTTTTGAGCCCTAAAAAGGCTGGTTTTCACTAGCGACGGAGTTGGAGTCGTAAGAGCGCTTATGACCTTGTGGAAATAAAAAATTGGAGTTGTAATCACAGTCATAACAGCGACGGACTTAAAAGAATCAGAAAGTTTCTATTTTCTCCCCACTCCGTTTACGACCCCGTCGTTTTCGATATGATAAAAACCAGATTGTTAACCACAATGCTCATTCCCACGCTTTGTGATTGGCTTAGTTCTTTCGCTTCTGCTTGTGACTCCGACAACTATAATTTTCACTTGATTAAAGGGCATGTAAACCCAAAAATGCTACAATTTTGTTTGATATGAGTAGGATGTATACCGAAAGTACTTCATAAATCTTCTATCTTTTTTTCGATACAAGCGCATTTTGACCCGAGAAATCACCTCTGAAAGTTCACTTCGTTCGCCATTTTGATTCCGCCATCTTTGTTGTGACGTCACGAGTGGAATCTCTGCCCATCGGAAGTCAAAAACATCTTTGGGACCTTTACGAACACGTGTGTTGTCTAGTTTCCTACAAGAATATTTTTTTGGTTTGACAATGGTAAAGCGGTGTGTCGTTGGATCTTGTAACAACTCGAACAAAACAGGGCATTTTACTCATTTTTTCCAAAAGAAGAAAGAATTCGGCGCCAGTGGATTAAATGTGGAGACTTCTTACAACCTACGGAACACTCCATAATCTGTGGCGCTCATTTTGCACACGAATGTTTCGAGGATTATGGGATGGTAAAAATGGGACTCAAAGATAAAAGAAACAATTTGAAAAGCGATTCGGTGCCCGCAATTCAGTCCCAGACACCCGAAGTATTGCCCGAAGCGCGTAAATTAGCGGACTATGGAGAGCGAAGAAAAAGAAATATCGGCGCCTGCGAGTCAGACTTCTGGCAAAAGGTCACGAACAAGTAGAGGTGCACACAAGTTATCAGTTTCTAGGGTAAGTACGCCAATGTAATAATTAAGAAGGATTTTTTTTGGTTTGGTCAGTATTAACCGTTCCCCCTTCCTCAAGTTTATTCAATCTTTTCTCACAGATATTGGGCGGTAACAAACGTGCCTCCGTCGCGGCGAACGCCGTCACGTCAGCTTCTGAGTCTATGCCCGTCGACACTGAAACAAGTCCTTGCTCTGAAGATGTGACATCACCCATTAAGAGGTAGCAGTTCAATGTGATATTCTACACGAAACGTCTATAGGTAAAGGTAGGTTACGCTTACACATAATCTTACCTCGCTTTTTTCTTGCCCCCTAACCGATAATCTAATGTAGAATCTCTATCCAGCAGGCACACAATTAGAACCCTTGAGAGACGATTTTCAAGTGCAGTGCGACCTTATAGTTACAGCTCTTTTAAGCACTAATACACCAGAATGCAGCCCTGTTAAAAGTCTAGGAGGACGCAGCGTGGACGATGACAAAGATTTCGATTATGTTCAACCGACTGATTTGTCTCTTGAGGAAGCCGAGGACGACATTGAAGAATATGAGGGGAGTCCGTCAAAGTAACGTACCGCCGTACACTGGTTATGTTTTTGAAGAGATATCGCACTTTGTTTGATTGCTTTTTTTTTCTTACTTTTATTCTTATTCGTTAAAACATAGGTTAATTATTGCAGGTTTGGTGGCTGTAAACCAATGTAGGAGGTGCCAAAATCCGCAGGAAATCTTTGGCGTATTTTGTTTACTGCACAGGAAGGGAGCGCCACTCTTACTTTTCTGCCAAGATAACCCCAACACCATCGCACAAGTTGGCGATAAGCGATGTAGCGAAATTTTCTAGACACGAACGAGAGGAAAAATGTTGGAATAAATATGTAACTACGAATATGCAGTCATATTTAAACTGTTCATAATTTTTTTATGTATATAGTGAAAATTTCAGAACTAGTAAACATACTCGTGCCCTCTATGACTGTCTGTGTCATGTTGTTGCCTATATGCATAATACGCCGTTTCAAGGACCCTCACATCCAAGCAAGTAGACTGAAATCCTGGATGTTCTGTTATACAGGACATTTGGACCTCCGTCTGCTCTTCAATTTTTTGCCATATTTGCCCTCTTTCATGACAACATACGTTTTCGGGTACTGAAGGCATCATCTGACACATTCCACACCTAAATTACAATAAAAAAGTAAGGACCTCTTTCATAATGGCTTGAGTTGATCTTAGTCTCATGATAAAATTACTCCAAAATAAAGTCAAAAGGTATAAGCAATACAATTTAAGTCACAAAAAAAAAATTACCAGTCTGTGTTGCCAAGACGATCCGTCTGACTTTCGGTTTCGTCCTCACGGCTTTGTTGTTGTTGTTGTCCATCATCTCGTTGAACTCTGCGAGGCTCATAACGATAGGGACGCGGGCCTGTGTCTTCAGAAGGCTCTGAAGTTTCAACTACATCGCTGTCATATAAATTTACGTCGTAAAAATCACTTTCGTCGGATGAATTCTGCTCTGAACTATCCGAACTCTCACTTATCGCTCGATCGAGCCGCAATAGTGATAATCAAGTTGCGCAATAGACTGGTTCCACTCGTTACGTCACAGGTAATTTCATATTGTCAACCGGAAGTTAATCTGTAGTAGAAAAAGCCGTGTTTTCGCCTTAGGGGCATCGAATTGGCAGAAAATAATAGCAAAATCGTTTTTAGAATACTTTTTTACATATTAGGGGATAAACTTGTATTTTTGGGTTTACATGCCCTTTAAGAATCTGAATCAGAATTAGAACGCTGTTTTTACTAGATCGTTAAGTTCTGCACTTCTGATTACGACTCCGACCTCGACCCCGTCGCTGGTGAGAACCAGCCTTAAATTATCAAATTACCAAACCACTTTAAGTGGCTCGACTTGATTTTTAAGGAGTATAGCTCCCAAGTTTGAGCATTTACTTCGTCGACGTAAACCAAGATATCGGAAAAAAGATACCATAGCTGTATTATAATATAAATTTGTTATGAGCCATGTTTTATTAGTATCGCAGTTACCATGGCAACGTAATGACGCCAATACGGTACCAGGTGTTTTTTTGGTACTCGCTTACGGGAGCTTGTACCTCCCTTCGCTGCCTCGATTATGGCAAATTTTTAACAATTTCTATGACAGCGTTTTGAAAATATTTTGCAACGAAGTTTTAAGGGTCATAAAAATGGTAAACAAGCATGCAATCGACATAATTGGCTAATTGGTGGTTTTCACTGTCACGCCATCGAAAACTAAAATCAAAACCGTGGAATGTCTGAGGCCAAGAATTTCAGATATTATAGAATATCGTTAAGTTAACAACCTGGCCAAGTCTCACGTCTGTGCAGTTTTCCGCTGCTGAGTTGTTCTTCAAAATGTGTAACAGAAATTTATAGGGCGCCATATGGTGGCCCATATTTGTGCACAAATATGTCGACCGGAAATCATCTGGTTTCAGTATCGCCACAAATTTGATCAGTTGTTCACTACGAGCGAGCAAATTATTCCCCTTAACACATCTTCGGATACTCTCACCATTCAAAGGGCATGTTACCATTCAAAGGGCATGTTTTCACTGTGACGGCCTTCTCGGTCGCCATATTAATGTCACGAGGAGTAAACTTGGGAAACTAGAAAGAGCTATATTTTCAAAACGTTTACAGCCTCACCATCGAAGTTTTCACTGAAGTATTCACTTGTTCCAAAGTAATCAACGCTTTCAAGCGATAAAATTCGTGGACCGACACGTTCCGGAAAAGCTCTAAATCTTTCCCATTAATCTTTCCTGAATCGCTTTCGTCACGCATTGATACCTATTGCAAGTTTCCACGGTCTCCGCCAGGAACGCCTGGGACCACAACCCCCTATTGGCGCGCAAACACGAAAAAAAAAAAAGAAACGCTTCCATTTTTAGAGTCCCGCTGCCAAAGCAAGCGAGACTTTTAATTAAATACCTTAAAATCTGAGAGCCAAGAATAATATCGCCTTAAATTGAGTCCATCGTTCTACATTACAATGACATAAAAAATGAGGTAGAATAATAATTTTTGATAATAGTATAAAAGCTTTCCCATTCAAAAGTAGGCATAAGCTCTTTAACGAAATATGAAAAACTAACAAAAGGTAGACCTGTTTTTTTTTTTAAAA